CATGAACATGAGCCAGCAGTGTGCCCAGGTGGCCAAGAAGGCCAACAGCGTCCTGGCCTGTATCAGCACTGGTGTGGCCAGCAGGAGCCGGGCAGGGATCGTGCCCCTGTGCTCGGCACCTCGAGTACTGTGTTGTTTTGGGCCCCAAGAAAGACTGAGGTGCTGGAGCATGTCCAGAGAAGAGCAATGAAGCTGGTGAAGGGTCTGGAGCACAAGTCTGACGAGGAGTGGCTGAGGGAACTGGAATAGGACGAGAGGAAGTGTCCTCAAGCTGCGCCAGGAGGGATTTAGGTCGGGTATTGGGACAAATTTCCTCACTGAAAGGGTTGTCCGCAACTCCTAGGGGTGCGATGAACTGCCCCGGTGCAGGATGTTGCTTGTGCCTCTTTCCAGCAGCACGAAATCCGCCTGCCCTGGCTTGTGCGTGCAGTTTTCCTCCCTGAATCGCTGTCTCCTCTTCTCTCCAAGGTATTTCTTCCCACGCCAGCTCCTGATCCGCTACTTCTGGACCCCCAACCAGCAGGTTGAGTTCCTGGACGCCTATGATGCCATCCGGAGAGACTTGTATCCAGACGTGGTGGAGAGTTTAGCCCTGGCAGCGCGTTCCCTGCCTGAGCCGCAGCTCCAAAAACGCCTGCTGGAGCTGGGCGCCGAGGTATGTCAGCGCCGTGAACGTGTGCGCCGAGGTATGTCAGCGCCGTGGCCAGTATTGCCCGTCCTGCTTGTGCCACTGCCACCGCCTCGGCCCTGCCTGGTGATGAACACCCAAGGGAGCTGTTGGCAATGCACGCCGTGGCTCTTTCAGGTGCAGCGAGGTTCCCAGCCACGCGTGGCCGAACTCTACGCTGTGAGAAGTTTGTTTTCGGGATCTCCACTGGGTCTGAACAAGCTCCAGGTGTCTCATGTGGTGAGTGTGGCTTTTCTCTTGCCAGCAGCTCAGGAGAAGAGCACTGAGGTGCTAAACCACTCAGTTGTGCCCTAAAACCAGTCCAGTTGTGGATGAAAAGCTGGACATGAGCCGGCAACGTGCGCTCGCAGCCCAGAAGCCACCCGTGTCCTGGGCTGCCCCCAAAGCAGCGGGG